ATTCTAGCTTGTATCGGGTTAGACTTTGGAGTAAGATTAGCGTTGTTCTAGAAAGCAGGTTTTCAGTAGGGAATGTAGCTGAGTTGATAGACTGCTTGCCTGGCAAGCACAAAGCCCTGGGTTTGATCCCCTGCACCAAATAAACTGGGGGTGGTAGCTCACATCTATAATCTCAGCCCTGAGGAGGTGCAGGCAGGAGGAACAGAATTTCAAGGCTACGAGTTTGAGGCCAATCTCGAACACTTGGAACACTGTCATGCCCCACTCCCCCACCACGCAACTCAGTGATAGGGCACTTGCCTTGAGCTCCAACTTCAATACTGAGAAAAAAAAAAGTTATCTGTTGTGCTTGCCCTGACTTCCCTTGGTGATGGATTGCGACATGGAAATGTAAGCCAAAGAAATCCTTTGCTCCCCAAGTTGATTTTGTAAAAGACTTATTGTTTAATGAGTATGAGCGTTTTGCCCGCTGGTATTTATTTGCGTCACATGTGTGCCTGGCCCAAAGGAGGGCTTCAGCTCACCCTGGAACTGGAGTTAGAGATGGTTGTGAGTCACCATGTAGTTGCTGGAAATAGAACCCAGGTCCCCTGTAAGAGCGACAAGTGCTTTTAACCACTGAGCCATCTCTCCAACCCCAACCCCCATCTCCAGTTACTTTGGGTTAGTGCTTTATCATAACAACAGAGGAGAACTGAAACACCAGGACTGGAGGCAAGTGCCTGTAATCCTAGCATTGAAGAGTTTGAGGCCAAACTAATGTGAGTTTATGTGGTGATTTATTGTGTACCCTAATAAAATGTGCCTGAGTCAGAGGACAGAACAAGCCACTAGGTTAAACATAGAGGCCAGGCAGTACTGGCACATGCCTTTAGTCCTAGCACTTGGGAGGCAGAGATCCTTCTGGATCTCTGTGAGTTCTGGACTACATGAGATTGACTCAGTCTAGGAGAGAAACAGAGGCCGGCAGTGGTGGCACACACCTTTAATCCCAGCACTTAAAAAAAACCAAAACAAAACCGGAAGTGATATGGTTGGTGGGCAGAGAAAGGTATGTAAGGCGTGAGGAGACAGGAACTAAGGCTTTTCGGGTGAGGAAGCTCATTCAGCCAGAGGCCTATCGGCTGAAGTCTTTCAGGCTGAGAATTTGGTAGAGGTAAGAACTAGTGGCTGGCTGCTCTGCTTCTCTGATCTTTCAGCATTTACCCCAATATCAGGCTCCAGGTTTTTTATACAAAGACCATTTAGCAATTCGTGTTGCAAGTTCATCATGAGTTCCAGAGCTATATAGTTCAAGGACTACCTTGTCTTAAAAACCAAAGGAAAAAAAATATTTTCTTTTTATTTTATTTGTTTTTAAATTAGAAGTAACAGAAATGAGTAGAAAGCATGGTAGGAGGCCTTATCTTCAGGCCTGCCCCATGCTTAGCTCACTCCCTCCAGGGCTTTTCCCTTCAGATACCACGTCTGCCCTCTCAGAAGCCCCGGGGGTGAAGGACCTCACTTCTATGCCACGCTTTCTTCTGCTCTCACCACTGTCTCTGTCCTGTTAGTTGATGTACAATCTTTCCGCTTTGATTTGTTGGGTGTTGTGTTGTTTTGAGTGCTTGGACTTGGACTTGAGCCCAAGTCATCTGATAGGATCTATGACTGAGCACCTGTTTGTGTTTGCTTGTTTGCAGGTCTGAGAATCCAAGCCAGGGCCTCAACTGTGAGAAACAGCTTGTTCGTTTGTTTTCATTTTTATCAAAGGTAGCTTGCCCTCCAAGGGCCAATATTCCATAAATCTCCCTCTCCCCTACACTGTAAAACTTTTATGTAGAAAATTAAAATCTTAGCCAGGTGGTGGTGCACATCTTTAATCCCAGCACTCAGGAGGCAGAGGCAGGAGGATCTCTGTGAGTTCCAGGCCAGCCTGGTCTACAGAGCAAGTTCCAGGACAGCGAGGGCTACAGAGAAACCTTGTCTCAAAAAAAGAAAAGAAAAGAAAATTATTAAAAATTTTTAATCCCCTCCACCTGGTAAAAGTTTTATTTTCACACACACACACAAGTATTCATTGAATGTGTTGATCTGAAACAGACAACTCCTTCCCCATTTTCTTAATTCCTTTACATACATTCTTTTTTTTATTTGGGGGGGCAGGGTTTTGAGACAGGGTTTCTCTGTGTCATTTTTTTGGTACCTGTCCTGGATCTCACTCTGTAGACCAGGCTGGCCTCAAACTCACAGAAATCCACTTGGCTCTGCCTCCCGAGAGCTGGGATTAAAGGTGCGTGCCACCACTGCCCAGCTTCTCTCATGGTTTTTTGAAACAGGATTTCTCTGTGTAGGCCTGGTTGTCCTGGAACTTACTCTGTAGACCAGGCTAGCCTTAAACTCAAAAGATCTGCCTGCCTTTGCCTCCCGAGTGCTGGGATCAAAGGTGTGCACCACCACTGCTCAGTTTTTGTTTTGTTTTGTTTTTTAACTCACAAGAGATCCACCTGGCTCTGCCTCCCAAGTGCTGGGATTAAAGGTGTGTGCCACCACTGCCCAGCTCAGCTTTTTTAAAGTTTTTATTAAAATTAGACATATAGTAGGCAGTGGTGGCACATGCCTTTAATCCCAGCACTCAGGAGGCAGAGCCAGGTGGATCTCTGTGAGTTCAAGGCCAGCCTGGTCTACAGAGCAAGATCCAGGACAGGCACCAAAACTATACAGAGAAACCCTGTCTCAAAAAAATTATACATATATATATTTTAATATTTATTATGTATACAGAGTTCTGCCTGCATGTATGCCCACATGCCAGAAGAGGGCACCATATCTCATAGATGGTTGTGAGCCATCATGTGGTTGTTGGGAATTGAACTCAGGACCTCTGGAAGAGCAGCCAGTGCTCTTAACCTCTGAGCCATCTCTCCAGCCCTAAAAATCATATTTTTAAGAGCACTTGCTGTTTTCACTAAGCCACTTCTCTAGTCCCTTTTGCTATTTTTAAAAGATTTTGTTAGCCAGGTGTAGGGTCATACACCTTTAATCCCAGCACTTCCAAGGTAAGGCAGGCAGATCTCTATGAGTTGGAGATCTGCCTGGTCTACATAGTGAGCTCCAGACCAGCCTCTGTCAAAAAGCAAAAAAAAAAGGTATAATTTAAAAAAAAAAAACAGATTTTACTTTAGTTTTTAATTATCTGCATGCATATGTGTCTGTATGAGGGTATGAATTACGAATGCAGGTGCCTGCTGAGGCCTGAAGAAATCTCTATCTCATATCCTGGAGCTGGAGTTACAGTCAATATGAGCAGCCAGCTATGAGTGCTGTGAACCCAACTCAAGTCCTCCACAAAGGTGGCACAAGCTCTCGGCTGCTGAGGCGTCCTCCGGCCCCAGTCCATTGATTTGAAAGCAGATCTATAGGGACAGACAGTAGATTAGTAGCTGGTTTTTTTGTTTTGTTTTGTTTTTCGAGACAGGGTTTCTCTGTGTAGCTTTGTGCCTTTCCTAGAACTCACTTGGTAGACCAGGCTGGCCTCGAACTCACAGAGATCCGCCTGCCTCTGCCTCCCGAGTGCTGGGATTAAAGGCGTGCACCACCACCACCACCACCACCACCACCACCACCACCGCCCGGCAGTAGTTGTTTTTTTAAAAACCTGATTTGTTTTGTTTGCTTATCTGGTTGGTTAGTTGAATGATTGGTTGGTTGATTGAGGTAGATCTAACCCTGGTTGGCCTTGAACTCGCAGCAGTCTTCTTGCCTCTGTCTCCTGAGTGCTGGAATTTTAGGCATGGATCACCTTGCTTGGCAACCCAGCTTCCCACCCCCACCCCCCCAGACAGGGTTTCTCTGCGTAGTTTTGGTGCCTGTCCTGGATCTTGCTCTGTAGACCAGGCTGGCCTCGAACTCACAGAGATCCATCTGGCTCTGCCTCCCGAGTGCTGGGATTAAAGGCGTGCACCACCACCACCACCACCACCACCACCACCACCACCACCACCACCACCACCACCACACCACCCGGCTCTTGGCAATCCATTTTATTGCTTATGCATATCCAATAAATTACAGATAATCTGATTTTAATTTATGCATATAACAATTCAAGCAAAGTTCAACCTGACTTCAGGTTGGTCTCCATGAGAAACAAATTCAAGTTTTTAAAAATTAAATGGAAGCCAGGCAGTGGTGGCACACACATTCAATCCCAGCACTAGGGTCTCTGAGTTCAAGGCCAGCCTGGTCTATAGAGCAAGTTCCAGAATGGCCAGGGCAACAGAGAGAAACCCTGTCTCAAAAAAAAAAAAAAAAAAAAAAAAAATTTTTTCCCAGCAGTGGTGGTGCACATCTATAATCCCAGCACTTAGGAGGCAGAGGCAGGTGAATTTCTGAGTTCAAAGTCATCCTGGTCCACAGAGTGAGTTCCAGGACAGCAAGGGCTATAGAGAGAAGCCCTGTCTTGAAAAACCAAAACCAAATCCAAACAAACAAACTAAATGGAACAGGAAGTCACCAAACACTAATTCCCAGTAGTTACATTTCCATCCTGTGCCTAGTGTTACATTTGATCTCAATCCTTACAACAATCTTCAAGTACAGAGGAGGAGTCTATCTAGAAACCTACCTCTAGTGCAGTGGTTCTCATCTGTGGGTCACAACCCCTTTGGGGGCGGCATATCAGATACCCTACAGATCAGATATTTACATAACGATTCATAACAGTAGTAAAATTACAGTTATAAAGTAGCAACAAAATAATGTTATGGTTCGGGATCAACACAACATGAGGAACTATATTAAAGGGTCACAGCATTAGGAAGATTGAGAACCACGGATCTAAAGAGAACATTTGCTGGGCATGAGGATGCACACCTATGATCCCAGCACTCAGAAGGCAGAGGTTGACAGATCTGTGATTTCAAGGCCAGCCTGGACTACAGAGCGAGTTCCAGGACAGCCAGGGCTACACAGAAATCCTGTCTTGAAAAGCACCCCCCCCCCCCCCCGCCCCCGCCACCGCCACAACCAAAAAAAAGAGGTGATAGCAATTGGCAACATAAATGAGCAAAAATGGCTGCTTCAGGACAAGGCTCCTAGGTTTCAAATCCAGTTCAGATAGAAGCCACAGCTCTGTGGCTGAGAGAATCTATTTAACCTCAGGAAACTAATCTACAAGCCAAGGCCCAGGACATTATCAAGAACACCACCCTCTGAGGCTTTTGAAAGAAATTGAAACAGAACATGAATGCAACAATGCCTTGATTCCGGTAAGTGGCAGTCACTGTAATTACTGTTACACAGTCACTTAAAAATATTCAAACTCTCAATGTTGCATTCATTCAGCGTCTGTATTTCCTAGCAGAATTTCACCATCTGTTGTATACCAAGGATACAACAAGACAATTTCCAGCCTATAATTCCAGCACTCTGTCAGTAGAGGCAGGGGGATCAGTGTAAGTTCAAGGCCATTCAGACTGAACTAGCTAGAGCCTTTCTCAAGGAAACAAAAAAATACGGTCTGGGGATATAGCTCCTTGATAGAGTTCTGCCTAGCATGTGTGAAGCCCTAGGTTCAGTCCCCAGTACTGCAAAAATAAATAAATAAAAATACTGGGGTGGGGTGGGTTGAACTAGAGAGATGGCTCAGTATTTAAGAACACTGCTCTTCCAGAAAACCCAGGTTCCCTAGCACCCACGTGGTAGCTCACAACTGTTGTGGAATATTCCTTTACACTGTGTGAAGACGTGTCACTGTGACTGGTTTAATAAAAAGCTAAATGGCCAATATATAGCCAGGAGGTATAGTTGGGACTTCTGGACAGAGAGAGCTCTGGGAAGAAGAAAGTCATTATCACCAGCCAAATGGAGAGGAAGCAGCATGGGGAGTAAAGGTAACCAAGCCACGTGAAAGATTAAAAGATACGGGCTAATTTAAGCTGTAAGAGCTAGCTGGAAACAAGCCTAAGCTAAGCTTTCAAAATTAATAAGTCTGTGTGGTTATTTGGGAGCTGCAGGTGGGTTGGAGAAAGACTTGCTACACACAACCATCCAGTAACTCCAGTTCCAAGGGACCCAACGCCCTCTTCTGGCCTCTGCAGGCATCAAGCACACACATGGTATATAGACATATATTCAGGCAAAATATCTATACACATAAAATAGGATAAATGTAAAAAATACTGGGCCACTGAGACGGCTCAGCCGGTAGAGTACTTGCTGTCAAGTCTGAAGACCTGAGTTAGATTCCTGGGGTGCACAGAGGGGAGAACCAACTCCCACAGGGGGTCGTCTGAACTCCGCATGTGTGCTGTGGCACATACAAACCCACACACATACACACACACAATAAATGAGTAAATGTAATAAAAATTTTTAATAAAAATAAAACCATGCAATAAGAACTATTATCTTGCCACTTTTTTAAAATGTATTTTTATTTTATGTGCATTAGTGTTTTGCCTACCTGTATATCTGTGTGAGGGTGTCAGATCCCCTGGAACCAGAGTTACAGACAGTTGTGAGCTGTCACGTGGGTGCCAGGAATTGAACCCAGGTCCTCAGGAAGAGCAGACAGTGCTCTTACTGAGCCATCTCTCCAGCCCCATCTTCTCACTTTATAAATGATGAAACTGAGGTCCAGAGAGGTTAAATGACTTGACTTCCCACTCCCACGTCCCCAGTCCCCAACAACTACTAATCCATAGTCTGTCTCTACAGATCTGCTCTTTCTGGAGATTTCAAATAGATGAAATCAGGGGTAGAAGATGCCTCACCAGTTAAGAGCTCATACTGCTCTTGCAGAGGACCTGAGTTTCATTCAGAATATCCATACCAGTCTGCTCACAACTGTAACTCCAGCTCTGGGGGATGAGATGGCTTCAGCAAACACCTGCACTCATATATACCCTCACACAGACAACACATGCATTAATATATATAATATAAAATATCTATATAATAGATAATTATGAACTAAAATTAAATCTTTGGGTTTTTGTTTATTTGTTTGAGATTATAATGTTTTGGTTTTCTCACGCAGGATCTCATTGTGTAGCCCTGGCTGGCCTGGAACTCACCATGTAGACCATGTTGACCTAGAACTAATAGATCCGCCTGCCTCTGTTCCCCCAGGGCTTGGGCCACCATGCCCAGCTTGAAATATACTATTTTAAAATAATCAAATGGGCTATAGAGGTAGCTGAGTGGTTAAAAGCACTAGCTGCTCTTGCTGAGGACCCAGGTTTGGTTCCTAGTACCTACATGGCAGCTGATGAGCACCTGCAACTCCAGCTGGTGGGTATTCAATCACCTTTTCCGGCTCTGCCAGCACTAGGGACTCACATCAAATTAAATAGTTGGGCATGGTAGCAGAGGCAGATGGATCTCTGTGAGTTTGAGACCAGCCTGGTCTAAAAAGAGAGTCCCAGACTGGCAGTTGTGACATAGTGAGACTCTGCCAACAAATAAATAAACAAGTGCCGGGCAGTGTGGTGCACACATCTTTAATCCCAGCCCTCAGGAGGCAGAGGCAGGCAGATCTCTGTGAGTTTGAGGCCAGCCTGGTCTACAGATCAAGTTCCAGGACATCCAGGGCTACACAGTGAAACTCTGTCTCAAAAAAACCCAAAAACTAAAATAAGTAAATAAATGGGATCAGAGATGAGTGACAGAGCCTTTAAGCCTAGCATTCAAGAGGCTGGACAGGAGGATTTAGAGTTCGAGACCAACATGGGTTACATAGTGAACTCAAAGCCAGCCACAACTACATGGAAAGAACCTGTCTCAAATCCAAAATAAGTAAAAAGTAAAAATAAATAGCCAGGTATGATGCCATAAATCTATAACCCCAAGATTCAAGAGGTTGGGATAAGAGTATTGCTATGAGTTTAAGGCCAGCCTAGGCTATAGTTAGACTCTGTTTAGAAAACAAAACAGCTTTCTCTTTGGCAGCCAGGACCCTGCACATTTCCCCTGAAAGGTGGAGCATCTTCAAGACCTCATCACTGATTAGTGCAGTGGGATGCACACACTCTCCACAGAAGTCCACCGCCACTTGAGCCAAGCCAACCACACCCCTGAATTTCTCCAGTTTTTTTCCTGCTGGCAAGGCCCAGCAATTGACAGGGACAAGAGAGTCTATGTTGGAGAGCAACGCCATCACTTATTATCACTATTATGTGCTTGAGGAGCTTTGGTAATCTCAGGCCGCAGCTCAGGTGCTCTTGCTGGTAGTGACATAGGTCCCCCACTGTTCCCCTCCTGTGGTGGTTTGGTCACCAGGGAGTGGAGCTGTTTGAAAGGTTTAGAAGGATTAGGAGTTAGGCCTTGTTGAAGGAAGGAAGTGTGTTGCTGGGGTGAGCTCTGAGGTTTCAAAAGCTCAATTTCTCTCTCCTTCTCCCTCTTCCCCCATCTCCCTTTCCCTTCCCCTCCATCCTTCCGCCTGTGGACCAGGGTATAGCTCTCAGCTCCAGCAACAAGCATGCCACCACGGACCCTCCGTGATGATCATGGAATAAGCCTCTGAAACTGAAACAAGTCCCCAATTAAATGCTTTCTTTTATAAGAGCTGTCGTGGTCATGGTGTCTCTTCACAACCATAGAACAGGGACTAAGGCACCACCCTGAACACCACGAACCACACCTAACAGGCCAATGAGACTGCAACGGAGGGGCCGTGGACAGCTGTGGGTGCTTTCTGCCAAGCTTGATGACCCAAGCTCGGTCCCGGAAACCCACATGGAGGACGGAGAGAACTCCTGAACATCGCTCCCTGACCACCACGCCACGTGTGACATGGTGCATGTATATGTACACACACACAATTTACAGTTTTAATTATACTAGTTGCCACTATATAATTTACATGTAAAAACAATGCTCTCATTTAGGGAACACCCCTTGTGCTTCCTCTGAGGTGACCTTTACTAAGAAGCTAGGTGGCACCAGTGGCCATTGCAGGACACTGGGATAAGAACTCCCTCCTCTTAGCCAGTGCTCACACATCTGTAATCCAGCACTCGGAGGCAGAGGCAGGTGGATCTCTATGAGCTTGAGGCCGGCCTGGTCTACACCAAGTTCCAGGCCAGCCAGAGCTACACAGAGAGACCTTGTCTCAAACTGTCCCCCCAAACACCTCCCCCACACACACATCCACACACACACACAGCCATTGGTTCCAAGAACTTCCTCCTCTTGTCCCCACCATCTTCAAAGGAAAGTTGCTAGTTACTCACCAAGGCCTTTCCAGCCTGGCCCCAAGACACTTCCTTACCCTTCTCAAGCCATACACACCTGTGCCCTACAGAGTCCCACGTGACCAAGGCCCTGGTGCCGTGCTCTTGATGGCCAGGACCCGGCATACAGGCAAAGCTGTAGAAACAGAAGCAGGAGGTTTACACCTTCAGTGGATGTGGGTAGGGACATCTGCCCCTGGTCTCCAGAAATGCAGACCAGAAAGTGTGGAGTCCAATTCAATTACCCACAGCCTGCTCTAGGCCTCGAATGTCCTTACCTCCTCTCCAAGCCCACTTTCTCACTGGACTTCGAGGAAAAGGCCCTTTGCAAGATGGAAAGGAAACATAAAAGAGACAACCCCCAGGAGGGCCGGTGTGGGAATCTTCTTTATTCCAGTCATCATTATCCTAGTTGTCAGTCAGGATGGCTGCCATTCATGACAACTTCCTGACTGCTTCATTCTACCTGCAGTGGCTCTTAAAGGCACAACCACCAAAAACAGGCAGGTGAGTTACATGGGATGCTCCAAAGGACCATTCTGCTGGGGTTCACCATGCAGCCTCTCTCAGCAGAAGCCACATGTAGATGTGTTCCTCACTGTGTTTCCTGGGCAGAGACCTGGGGAACAAAGGCACCCACACCCTCTCAGCACCATTCCATCCTCCCCGGTCACAGTGGAGCTGCAGGCCAGCCTGAAGAGTGTGCCAAAGGTCTGAAGGCCCATTCCTGCCCAGTTGCTTTGTCTTCCACACCCAAAACCATCCAAAGTCACCTCAGTTGTCTTCAAATCAGGTCACAGAATAGCAGGAGACATTCCCTTGGCAAAAAAGGACACATTCTTGTCCTGTATCTTGTACTGGTAAGTGAGGCTTCGATCCTGCTGGGCTGTGGGCTGTGACGGCCTCCTCCAGAGGATCCTCAGCTGCAGAAAGGGAGAAGAATGAAGGGCACCACCAAGTCCCTGCTCCGCTGGGAATCCCAGGCCTCCTGGTTACTTTCCACTGAGGCTTCTATGACAGCTCAGGCAGACGTGTCATAGGTAATGGGACCAACTTCTACAATAAACATTACCAGCCACCAGAGAATCAGGGTCTGCCTCTCCATTACAGCAGCTGTGTTTGCTTGCTTCCCTCAGAAAAGGAAAAAGGCCTCCAAAGAAAAGCAGCGAAACAGCCGGGTGGGGGTGGCGCACGCCTTTAATCCCAGCTCTCGGGAGGCAGAGCCAGGCGGATCTCTGTGAGTTCCAGGAAAGGCGCAAAGCTACACAGAGAAACCCTATCTCAAAAAGCCAAAAAAAAAAAAAAAAAAAAAAAAAAAAAGCAGTAAAGTATTTTCATGAACTTCCTTTGGGAAGTTTCCCCTCCCTTCCCCTCTTCTGTCTCCCTTTCACAGCCCTCCTTCTTTTCTTCTTTTCTCTGTGTAGCCCAGCTGTCCTGGAACTCACTCTGTAGACCAGGCTGGCCTCGAACTCTTAGAGATCCACCTGCCTCTGCCTCCCGAGTGCTGGGATTAAATGTGTGCACTACCACGCCTAAATAATTTTTTTTTTTTTTTAAGATGGGGACTTACCATGTAACTCTGGCTAGCCTAGAGCTCAATATGTAGACAAGGGTAGCCTCAAGTTCACAGAGATCTGCCTGCTTCTCCCTCCCAAGTGCTGGATTTATTTTTAATTTTGTTTTTGTTGTTACTGTTTTGTTTTTTTGAGATTGGAGTGGGGAATCTTACTATGTAGCCCTGGCTGGCTTGGGACTCACTATATAGACCAAACTGGCCTTAAACTCACAAAGATCCACCCGCTTCTGCCTCATGTGTGCACCACCAGACCCAGATTTGTATTTTTAATTATGTATATGTGCATGTGAGTGCGGGTACCTATGAAGGCCAGAAAAAAGTGTCAGATTGACTGGAGCTGGAATTCTAGGTGGTTGTGAGCTGCCAGATGTGCAGGCTAGGAACTGAATCCCAGTCTTCTGAAAGAGCAGAAAGTGCTCTTGGCTCCTAAGCCCTGAGTCATTTCTCAAGCCCTGTTTAAAGTTTTTACATTAATTTAGTATGTGTGTGTGTGTGTGTGTGTGTGTGTGTGTGTGTGTGTGTGTGTGTGCTAAGATACACAGAGAAGTCAGAGGACAACTTGTGGGAGTCATTCTCTGCCTTCACCATGTGGGTCCCAAATCCAACCCGAGTTGTCAGGCTTGGCCAGAAGCACCTTTATCTGCTCAGCCATCTTGCCAGCCCCCAAACCTTTATTTTTAAAGGAACTATGTTGAACAGAAAATGAAAATACTGCTATAGTATAACTGAGGAATCCTGCCATTATTTGATACTACAGCTGTAATCCATTCTAGACAATTGTCTCCTTTTTAGAACTCTGGCCACAGATGAGACCACTAGGAAAAATGTTTCCTGCTCCAAGAGTCTATATGCTGCCTGGTGCAGGACACTGACTCACATTCACAAAACTCAGGACTCCCAAGGTTTCCCTTCTACCCAAAGCAGCCCACGGCTCAGCCTGTGTACCTGTCCATGCACATCCTTGCAGAATCCAGTGGCCAGGCCCTCAGCTCGCAGGATTAGGTGGCTTTGATGACTAAGGCCACTCAGCAGGATGTCATTCTCCTCATCCCCAGCATTCTCGCTGTCATGCACGAGGGCCACCACATTTCCCTGCATCAGACACAAGATGGAAACCTGTTCCTTACCAAATGGGTGCCAGGCTTTCAGCGTCTTCACACCCAGTCTCTGCATATCCTCTCTCAGGTCACGCCCCCTGTGCCGCTACAACAGCTTCTTCCTAAGAAGGACCCCTTAAAGGGCTCCAGGACCCTAATTCCAATCATCTACTGGACACTTGCACCAGCAAGTCCAACCTACCCTTCCAACTCAAGTCATCTAAAAGCAAGCTCATCCTAGGAGCTCATTCTCTTCCTGAATATTATGCCGCCGCTGGGGGCTGGCAAGACGGCTCAGCAGGTAAAAACACTTGCCATCAATCCCGATGATCTGAGTTCAACCCTCAGACCCCAAATGGTGGAAAGAGAGAAAGGACTTCTGAAAGTTGTCTGTGGCATGTTCATGCCCCCACTACCAAATTAAGTTGTTGCAGATTAAGTTGTTACAGAATCCAGTGGCTTCTGAGGTCACCTATACTTACATGCACATGCACATACTTACACAGACACACACATAAATAAAAAATAAAAGTTTTTTTTGTTTTGTTTTTTTGATACAGGGTTTCTCTGTGTAGCTTTGGAGCCTTTCCTGGAACTCACTCTGTAGCCCAGGCTGGCCTAGAACTCACAGAGCTCCGCCTGCCTCAGCCTCCCGAGTGCTGGGATTAAAGGCATGCGTCACCACCCAACAAGATAAAAGAATCTTAAAAAAATAAATAAATAAATAAATAAAAAGGCAGGTGTGAGGCCAGTGTGGTATATACATCTGTGTTTCCAGGACTTGGGAGGTGGAGGGAAAAATATCAGAAGTTCAGGGTTACCTTTGGCTACATAGCAAGTTCAAAGTCAGCCTGCCTGGACTACATGTGATCCTGCCTCAAAAAAAGCCAGGCAGTGCACATGTAACCATGGCACTGTGGAGCATTAGGAATGTGGAGATGGGAATCCCTGAAGCTTACTGGCCGGCTAGTCTGGCCAAATAGATGGTCTTCATGCCCCTTACCTTTTCTTCCTTCCATGCTGACTCTCAACTCCTTCTCTCTTTCTTCCCCCACCCCTCCATCTCCCCCGCTCCTCATTTCTCTCTCTGCATTAACCTGGATCCTGGCCCTGTGACTGTAGCCAAGATAGTCTCAGCAGTCCCTTGAACACAGCTTCCAGGCAGGACTGTGCATCCAGTCACACGATTGGTCACACCCCTGTTAACACATCCAACTTCTCTCTACCACTGTTCTGCACTCTGTGAGTCTGGCCTCTTCACACAACGTCCACAAGTTCGTATAGGCCACGTCATCACCCACTGAAAGCGGCCACTGTGGGCCAGGCACTGCACTAGATACCAAGCCTCACTCATCAATGTCTTTTTTTGTTTTGTTTTCTTCTTTGAGACACGGTCTTGCCATAGTCCTGGCTGGCCTGGAACTATGTGGCTCAGGCTGGCCTCAAAGTTGAAGTTTGAGGATTATAAACATAGGCTACCATGTTCAGCCTCTCACTCAGTTGTTTCGTTTTCTTCCTAAAATCTTTTATGAGCCTGTAGGGGTGTGTGAGAGGGTGCTGGCACACACAGTGCACGTGTGGAGGTCAAAGGACATTTCGTGAAGTGTGTTCTCTCCTTTCACCTTTATGTGGGTTCTGGGGCTCAGATTCAGGTCACTAGGCTTGTGCAGCAAGCTCTTTTGCCTGTCCTAAAACTCACAACCCTTCTTCCACAACCTCCCAAGGGCTGGGGTTACAGACATGTGACCGCATGGATACAGCTGCATTTGACCTTTCTGAATTCCATGATGACACGTTAGCTGGAACTCACTATGTAGGTAAAGTTGACCTTGAACTTCCATCCTCCTGCCTCTGCCTTCCAAATGCTGAGGTTACAGTCACACATCACCAACCCAGTTTATACAGTGCTGGTGATCAAACCTAGGGCTTCAAACATGCTACACTAGCATGTTGCCGACTGAGCTACATCCCCAACCCTACTTTGCTGTTTTTAAAGTGATTTAGTGAAAGGTTCTAGGCTCAATCCCCAGAACTTTCACCTATGAGGAAAGAAAACATAAAGGAGTTTATAGTCATGACCTTAACGGACCTTCCAAACTCACTAAGAAAGGACCCCCAGGCACACAGACAAGGACTACAGCACTCTCCCACAGTGCTGGGTCAGTCTTTAATTTCGAGGGGTTTATTATTTAGCAGTGCCAAGTAGAGTAAAGCAGGAAGGGTGGAACAAAGGATTTCTGGGTCTGCCAAAGGAAAGCTAAACTCGAAGCAAACAGACAGAGAAAGCCCAACACACAATTTGGGTTCTCAGAGACCTCGGCAGAACACCACCAGCAGCCCCTTGATACCTTCAATTCGCAGCACACCATGGCTCGGCAGTACTGCATGAAGTCCAGCACAGAAACTGCCGCCACGCCCAGGCTTAGCAGCACACTGAGGTCATCCACCAACAGCACCGGGTACTTCCACAGCGTTTCCCCACCGTCCACAGGCTTCAGGGTGTCCTGTACAAACTCATACAGCAACTGGAGGTTCCCTGCACTGGCCTCCCTAGAGACACAGGAAAAAAGTCACCAGAGCTCACTCCACAAATGCTTTTTGTTCTGAGACTGTCTCATGAACCCCAGGCTGGCCTTGAACTCACTATGTAGTGAAATCAAGGGTGACCTTGATTTTCTGATCTTTGCCCTTCCACATCCTGAATGCTTCCTCACAAAATGACAACTAGTTTTATGTAGTGCTGGGCAGCAGACCCAGGGTCTCATGCAGTGCTGGGCAGCAGACCCAGGGTCTCATGCAGTGCTGGGCAGCAGATCCAGGGTCTCATGCAGTGCTGGGCAGCAGACCCAGGGTCTCGTGCGCACTAAGCAAACACTGTCAACAGAGCTACAGCCCTAGCTCTTTTCTTCTCTTCTTAGAGTGTCACTTTAGAACTGACCTGGAATTCACTACCTATTGTCTCCACCTCCCAAGTGCTAGGATTATGGGCATGTGCCACCATGCCCGGCTCTACAAATGTTTATCTGGGACAAAGTGGCACCACGGAAGGCTGGAGGAGGCAAAGAACTGGAAAAGAAAACACACACAACACACACACACACACACACACACACACAAAGAAGCTTTACTTTACTCCAATTCAAGTATTTTCTGAGGCCTACTGGGTACATAGGTAAAATTTAGAGGCTACAAAAAATGAACAGCTTGGTAGCAGTGGCACATGCCTTTAATCCCAGCACTCAGGAGGCAGAGCCAGGCGGATCTCTGTGAGTTCGAGGCCAGCCTGGTCTACAGAGCGAGATCCAGGACAGGCACCAAAACTACACAGAGAAACCCTGTCTCAAAAAACAAACAAACAAAAACAAACAAACAAAAAAGAATGAACATCAGGGCCCTGAAGAGATATCCTAGCTACCTGGCATGCTGGTCCACCTATAGTCCCAACCACTATAGAAGCAGGACAACAGCAAGCTGCAGGCCAGCCTGGGGAAGACTGAGACTGTCTCAAAAGAAGGCTATAAACTAAAAAAAGAGAACCATACCTACAGCCTCAATCCAAGAGCAATGGCACCTAGAAGAGTAAGTCAGACTGGGCAAGCCAAAGAGCCTTCCCAGAAGATCCTGAGCTGCTACAGAAGTTGAACAGCAAGTAGTTCAGGCGTCTTGGGGAGGGTGGCAGTCTATGGGTTGCTGGTATAGTGTTTCTGACACACAGTGACCAACTCACCTCCACCTTCCCCACGGATGCTGCAAGCAGTCATTTCCCAGCAGTGAGAGGAGGAATGGAGCGTAGTACCCAGGGCAACCACCCGCCCCCTTGGCATTGGGCTATCCTCACTAATGAGGAGACCAGCTCCCCACACACTGAGATCAGTATAATGAGCCACTGCAGTCAGAGGATAAAACCAAGGTCAGGGTGCTAGGAAGATGTCGCACACACACACACACACACACACACACACACACACACACACACAGGCATTCTAGCACTGCGTAAGGGTGTATTTGAGAGAGTAGGGCAGTGGGGAGAGATCTTTCATGGACTCGTCTGTGAAAGAGAAAGAACAGCAGCCCCATCAGGGCTGATGTTTAGGAAGGTTGAAAAGCACAGCACAGCCAGTCTAGACCTGTGATGATGAAACCAAATGAGATGGCAACATTTCCTGTTGCTGTTGTATAGAGTCACATCAGAGGCATGTAGGTTTGTGGTCATTTCCTCTGCCTCAGCTATCCAATCTGTTGCTATAAAGCCAAAGAGCCAGGGACAATGAGCTGACAAGCAAATGTGGCTATGTTCCACTATATTTATACACACAGGTCACTGGCCATAACCCTTAGCTTCTGCATGAGTCACCACCAGAGAAACAGCAAAGCATCTCACTGTGCCACTCTTCACTGCAAATGACACTTGCTATAGCTCTGGGGACCACCATCTACCATCGGCTTCACAATAACAGCCAAGGGCTCTGTGACACGCAGCAACCCAAGGGAAGTGTCTCATCCCTGAAGCCACATCCGCCTTCCCACACAACAAGCAGAAGAAATCGCACACACAGCTGCCCTCGTCTGGCCCCGCCTACCAGCTGTGCAGTCTGACCTGAGGAACTGCAGGGGATGAGGCGCCTCCTGAGTGTGGAAGAAGAGACCCACTGAGGACTTGAGGCCCTCCAGGAATACAAGCTGCCCACGTTCCCGCGCTGCTGTCAGGCTGACACCCTACAGGTGACAAGAAACGGAGTGAAGTTCTGTGCCCTGCGGGGAAACTTTCAGAGAAACTACACAGCTAACAGGAGGGTACCAGACATAACCCTGCTAAAGTGTCCCGTCTATTCCTAGTCTGCTTTCAGATGTTTACGACAAGGACTCCCGTATCCCAAGCAGACCTTGACTTAAAATGTTGTAGAGGATGACTCTGAATTTTTTTTTTCCCTGAGACAGGGTTTCTTTGTGTAACCCTGACTGTCCTAGAACTCACTCTGTAGGCCAGGCTGGCCTCAAAACTCAGAGATCCACCTGCCTCTGCCTCCTGAGTGCGAGTGCTGGGATTGGAGTCATGGGCTACCACACTCAGCTAGGCAAGAAAACCTTAACTGGCCACAACCAGTAGAAGGATTTGATTCGCTGTCATTTACAAACACTAGGTGTGGTTCTATAGGTTTTCAATGAAACACGCCCAGGCTCTGCTTTAATCCTTTCAATAAGGGGTGCATGGTCCCGAGATTTCCTTAGACCCTCCTCTGCTAGGTTCTCCACAACCCAAACAGAAAAGCCCAGCCTCAGCCCATGCATGACACATGCTCTTGAGAAGGGATGTCACCACAGAGGGCTGAAATACTCACCAGCTTCTGTCCCACAATATTATAGTGGCTAAACGACTGGACGAGCGCCACAAAGCAGACTTTACAATTAGCTAGAAAACAAAATAAAGTGAATTTTTAAACAAATCCTCTGCTTACACCCAGACATGAATAATTCATTCCTTGGAAACAGAAGCAGAGAGGTAGGGCTAGACAACACCCAGAGGCCTTGTACTCTGATATGATTGTGCTTAATTTCAGTCTAAGATGCATCTCCCCACTTGTCCTAGTTAGGGTTACTATTGCTGTGAAGAGGCACCATGACCACGGCAACTCTTATAAAGGAAAATATTTAACTGGGGCTGGCTGACAGTTTCAGTAGTTCAATAGTCCTCATGGCAGGAAGCTAGGGAGCAGGAAGCAGACATGGTACTCAGAGTTCTACACTCTGATCCACAGGCAACAGGAAGTAAACCCTGTCCCACAATGGGCGTGGCTTGAGCATATATGAGAGATGGCTCAGATGTTAAAGGCTAGGCTCACAACCAAAAATATAAGAGACCTCAAAGCCTGCCCCAACAGTGACACACTTCCTCCAACAAGGTCACACCTCCTAATAGTGCTACTCCCTATAGGCCAAGCATTCAAACACGTGAGTCCATGGGGGCCATTCCTACTCAAACCACCACACCCCTCATCTTTATTTTGAGACAGGGTCTGAGGTAGCACATGCTAGTCTTCAATTCTCTATATAACCCAGGATGATCTTGAACTCTTTATTTTTTTTTTTCTTTTGGTTTTTCAAGACAGGGTCTCACTATGTAGCTCTGGCTTTCCTAGTTCAGTAGACCAGGCTGGCCCTAAACTCACAGAGACCCAACTGCCTCTGCCTCCCAGGTGCTGGGATTAAAGGCAGGCACCACTACCACCCGGCTCTATTTATTTATTTGTCTGTTTATTTATTTATTTTTATTTATTTATTTTTTTGGGGGGGGGTTTCGAGACAGGGTTTCTCTGTGTAGCTTTGTGCCTTTCCTGGAACTCACTCTAGCCCAGGCTGGCCTCAAACTCAGAGATCCACCTGCCTCTGCCTCCCGAGTGCTGGGATTAAACGTGTGGGCCACCACCGACCGGCTCTAATTATTTTTTAATATTATATGTATACGGATATTTGACCTGAATGTATGTTTATATACCAAGTACATGTCTGGTGCCCTTATAGACCAGAAGAGGGCATCGGATCTCTTAGAACTGAAGTTACACACTTGTGAGTGAGTCACTATGTGGGTGCTGGGAATTGAACCTGTGTCCTCTGGAAAACCAGCCAGTACTTTTAACTACTAAGCCATTTCCCCAGCCTCTGACCTTGAACTCTTAATCCTCAACCCTCTAACTCCTGAGTGCTGAGATTACTAGCATGAGCTACCACACTAGGTTTATATGGTGCTGGGAATTCAACCCTGGGCTTCACATATATGAAGCAAACACTCTATCTACAAACTGAGCTACAACCCCAAGTCCCTACGATGCATTAAAAATTATTATTGTATGTATGCGTGCTGTGTATGCAGAGAAGTTAGAGGACAGCTTTGTGGAGTGAGTTCTCTCCTTCCACCTCCACACAGGCTGCAAACACTGAGCTCAGGGTGCCAAGCTTGTGTGACAAGGGCTTTGACCTGCTGACCCATCTTACCAAGCCAAGATGTACTTTACTCCTTTTGTTTTCTAGGACTGGGATTAAACCCAGTTCTACCGCTAAATTGTATCTCCATACTATGTCTGGTTATTACGTTTATTTATTGTTTATTTGGGGGAAAGGAAGGCTGTATACATGTACCAGGATGTGAATATGGAAGACAGAGGACAACATGTGGGAATTAGTTCTTCCCTCCCACGATGTGGGTCCTGGGGACTGAACACAAGAGGTCATCAGGCCGTGGTCCTAACCAACTGAGCTATCACCCTGGCCCCGAAGTACTGTGTGTGCATATGCATGTGTGGAGGCCAAAGGTCAGCATCAGGTGGCCTGCTCAATTGCTCTCCATCTTACTTTTGGAGACAGGGTCTCTCACTGGATCTGGAGCTCATGACTTGGCTAGACTGGATGGCCCCTGAGCTTCCAGGAACCTACCCAATTCTTCTGCTCCCCACAGTGCTATGGTTACAGATCTGCACCACATGCAGCTTTTATGGACATTCTGGAGATCTGAACTCAGGTCCTCGTGCTTGCATGGCAGGCATTTTACCAAATGCACCATTTCCATAGCTCTAGGTACTTAATTTTATTCTGTTGTAAATTATATCTCTTTTTCAATTTTGTTGTGTGTTTACTGTTTATATACAGAAATACAATTGATAAACAGTGTTATATGACCAGAAATTAGACTCCAAGAAACTCCAGCTACTTAACTGAGCCTTATTCATTCTAATAATTCATCCACACATTATTTTGCTTTTCTGGAAAAAAAATTACTTCAAAGCTGTAAAAGTACAGCCAGGCATACCAAAGGTTACCTCATTACCATGGTTGGCAAGTACTCCTCAAGGAGAATCCAACGATGAATGAGTCTTATGTTGGGGATGTATCTAAGTAGATAAAGTGCTTGCCTGGTATCATGAAGCACTGAGCTGGATCCCAGCACTGAATAAAAACAGGCATGGTGGCACACATCTGTAATTCTAGGACTTTCGAGGTGGAGAAAGGAGGATCTGAAATTCTGGGTCATCCTCAGCTACATAACAAGTTCAAGACTAGCTTGGGCTACAGAAGAGTCAGTTTCATAATAACACCACCACATTATGACGGAGAAGGAGACTTTTCTAACCTATTTCCAAATGTAAACTGCAGCGGCCATGCTCTTCAGGAAGCAGCTATTGCAATGACAAAATGCTCATAGTTAGGAGGTCTGAGACTAAACACACAACAGCTAAGAAAGCAGAGTCAGGAGGCCACATGAGGACTCCAGTGAGGTGGTGGCTACCACACAGTAGATAGAGAAGGGAGCTGCTGCAGAAGGGAAGGTAGAATGGAGACTTGATGGGTACACGCCATTCTTTGGCAGGGTCTAATGATGCCCCAATAACCTCTTCCCTAATGGAAGAGCTTCCTGATTCCCCAACACCAAAGCCAAGACTAGCCAATGCTCTTCCCGTTGTTTCCTCAGGGCTTTTCTTCTGTACTTTCTTGGCTGTTCTGAGTTTCCTTTTCTTTCTTTCTTTTTTTTTTTTTTTTTTAATTTTTTCGAGACAGGGTTTCTCTGTGTAGCTTTGTGCCTTTCCTGGAACTCACTTTGTAGACCAGGCTGGCCTCAAACTCACAGAGACCCACCTGGCTCTGCCTCCCGAGTGCTGGGATTAAAGGCGTGCGCCACCACAGCCCGGCAAGTTTCCTTTTCTTGATTTTGTTTGTTTGTTTGTTTGAGATAGGGTTTCTCTGAGTAGCCCTGACTGTCCTGCCTCCCAAGTGCTGGTTTTAAAGGTATGTGCCACCATGTTCAGCTAAACAATTACTGATTTTTGTTTTAATCTGAAGTAACAGATGGTTGAGGGTCATCATGTGGGTGCTGGGAATTGAACCTGGGTCCTCTGAGAGAGTAGCCAGTGCTCTTAACCTCTGAGCCATCTCTCCAGACCCGAGTTTCCCACCTTTGAGGTAGAAGGAGAGGAAGTGATGCACAAGGAAGCTGCCATCTGTCTTGGCATCACAGAGCAGAGTCAGTTTCCCCTGAAAGTTAAGAAGGACATAAGGTAAATTAGACCTGCTGTGAAGAGGTGAACCCCAGCAAAAAATCCAGTCAATTATGTACATTTCTGTACTGGAACAGCTGTTTGTTAATGATATATACACTAAATTAACAGAATTGAGGAGATGGCTCAGTGGGTGCGCAATAATGAGGACCTGAGTTTGAATCCCCAGAACTCAGTAAAGTCAGACCCAGTAGTCAGACCCAGAAGTTCAGTGCCTCTACAAAGAGACAGAGGCAAAGACGAGAACCTCTAGTTCTTGGGCCACCCAGTGTATGAAGTGAACAACGGTCTCAAAACAAGGTAAGAGGACTGACCACCACACCCACACCAGGGAATGTGTGCAACTGTGTTCACAAACACAAAACTGGGAACACGCACATACACACAAAGATTAAAAACTGAAGGAAAAAATCAGGGCTGGAGAGATGACTTACAAGCTAAGGGAATATACTGCTCTTGCAGGCACCAGATTTGGCTCCTCATACCTGTTAGCATCTAGGCATCTGCACTGGCCTGCCCTTAGGGTCCTGACAGGATATACCTCAGCTGCAGCCACTAAGAGCACTTCCTGTGCATATTCGCTAAGTTTCCTTATAAAAGGCGGGCCTTGTACACCTCCCGTCTTTCTCTTTCCCCCTCCCAGCCTCTCATCCCCAGGGACCAGTCTTTGTCCCTTCTCTGCCCCCTTTTTCCCCTCCCCTCAAGAAACCTCCTACACGGGCTCTGTATGGTATGACTCTTCCTGCCGTTTTTAAAATATAACAATACCAGCATCAGGCAGCTCACAACTGCCTCTAACTCTAGTTCCAGAAAGATCTAATAACGCCTCTACAGACACCTGCACTCATATGCACACACAAACATGAGTACACATAATTAAAAATAAAAAATACAGGATGTTAAAAAACAAGAAAATCGTGCTGGGCGGTGGTGGCGCACGCCTTTAACCCCAGCACTCGGGAGGCAGAGCCAGGCAGATCTCTGTGAGTTCTAGGCCAGCCTGGTCTACAGAGCGAGTTCCAGGACATCCAAGGCTACACAGAGAAACCCTGTCTCAAAAAACAAACAAAAAAACAAAAGTCTCTGCAGTATCAAGCTACCTGCTCCAGTCATTTCTACTTCTGTACGTAAAAAAAGAACATCAGGGTCTCAGTGCCGTGCCAACTTTAGGAAAATGTGTCTAATGTCTCTGAGTTTCAGTTGTGCTCCCCTGCCCCCTCCCTACATATGAAATGCCAAATCCCACTGCCAGCCTTGAAGTACCTTCCCACCCACTGCAGTAATTTCCTGTTGTTATTGTGGACCTGGGAAATGCCCTAGCAACTCGCAAAGCAGCTAGAGCTAACTGGAGGCTTGAACAGACAAGAACTGTTAGGCAATAAAACCTACAAGAATCTATTCAAACTCCCAATTTGCCTGGCACCATAGGGGTCATAAAAGGCTTTGCGCACGTGGTATGTTCACTGCAAATTATAGAATAAGACGGATACACCGCTGGGAGAGGTATCCTCTAAGTGAAAATGTGAAGGACTTCGAGGTTCCGTGGAGAGTGAGGAGGCTGAGTAAAACAGAGTGGACGGGCTACGCTGAATGCTTAGCGCAAGCAGATGTTCTTAGACACCATCAGAACCAAGAAGAGTGGTAACAGTGTTCCATGCAACCTGTCCAATGTTCCAGGGTGGAGGGAGACTCCGGGCAGGTAAGAGGCTCCTCTCGAGCCTGCTCTGCAACCACTTCTGGGCGCCAGGGTGGCACGGAGTACAGGGTCCCGGGGACTGGAAACGGCGGCCAAGGACACTAAGAACACGCGGGACGGTCCAGAAGTCTTATCTTACGCAGGCCCAAGCATCCAACCTCAGCCCCGGCGAGCCCTCTCCAGACTACAACTCCCAGGCGCCCTGGGTTGACGGCAGACGCGCCGGCCCCTCGCGCGCGGCATTCCGGATGCAATCTTCTCGCACGCTCCCGGGACACGCCCCCTTCCGGGCCGCCGGACATCTTACCTGCTCGGTCCTGTCTGGGGTGGTGCTGAGAAGGTTATTGAGTTCCGGGAACATTGTGAACTGGGATGAGAAATTAGGGCTCTACAGAGAGAATGAAGGCCGAAGAACAACACCCGCGAGACCTTCCTCGCATGTGAGAAAGTGCGCGTGCGTGATCCCACCCCACAGCCCCGCGTCAGCCAATCAGGCTTGGGCCTGTGATGCTGCTGCGCAAGCGCGTGAGCTCGTGTCCCAGTGATGCGGAATCGTAGAGCGATCCCTCATTCCAGCAATGGGCTCAGTAGATTCGGTTCCTCGTGTGGGCTGCACTCCCTCACCGCTCAGCGCCGCTTAGCGCGAACGAGCGAGCTTCCGCCTTTCATTGAGCAGGCTCCCCACCCCACCCCCAGCCCCGGGTCTTGGTCTCTCCACATGGCTATAGAAGGCTTCCTCGCGTGCTGCACACAAACTTGGGCTAGATCCATGGAACATATAGATCCTGCTAGCGGGATCTAAGCAGAAAGCGGAAAACAAAACCTAGTAGCACAGAATTTCGTTCTGAAAAGTTCTTTGTATAAAAGCAAAAGACAAGGGCCTAGAGAGATGGCTCAGTATTAAAACTTAATTGTTGCTCTTCCGTAGGACCAGGCTTTGAGTCTCAGCACCCACACGGATTACTTAGCTTTTAAGTCTCACTCCTGGGGACTCGACGCCCTCTTCTAGCCTCTGCAGCACCTTCGCGCGCGTGCGTGCACACACACACACGCGCACACAGACACACACACACACCATACACAAAAATTTTAAGAGGGCTCAGATTTCAGAGAACCCTGATTTGAGTCTCACTATACACATGGCAACTCATAACCCTTTGTAACTCCAGTCCCAGGAAATCAGATACCTCTTCTGTCCTCCAAGGGCATCAGGCATAAAAATGGTGCATGCAGTCAAAACATTCATACATAGAGTGGGTTTTTTGTTTGTTTTTGTTTTTGTGTGTATGAGTGAAGCCCTCCCTTCTGCCCCCCCCCCCAAAAAAAAAAAGCAAAGCAGGATTAGAGATATACTTTTTAACATGTGGGGAACTCTGTTTCAGCCCCATTACAGCAAAAACAACATTAAAAAAAAAAAAAAAAAAAAAACTGTTGCTGACACCTGTTGTAGGGTAAAAGGGCCAGCCAAAGAAACCCACCCTGACATCAGAGCCAGTGAAAAAAACACTTTAGCCCTGAACCCAGAACCAAAGAAATACACCGTGACCCCGAAACCAGTGCCAAAGAAACACACTTTCGCCTAGAATCAGAGTCAGTGAAAGAAATATGCCCTGGACCTGAAATGAGAGCCAAAACGCCAAAAAGGGCCAATTAAAAAAACAACAAACACACACACACACACACACACACACACACACACACACACACACACACACACACAGTTTGGCCCTGAAACCAGAGCCAAATCTGCCCCTGACCAACTAAGCAGAAAAGTAACCAATCCCTGAGCAGGAAAAAAACGAACCAATCCCTGAGCAGAAAAAAACAAAACAAAAAAAAAACCAAAAAACCCACGAAACAATTCCTGAGCAGAAACCCAAACACTGCTGAGCACCTAAGAAGCCCTATATAAGCCCCACACCTGTTCAGTTTGCAGCTGCCCTTTTCTCTGCGGCCTTCCACCCTGGCTGAGGCAGCCACTCCCCTGGATTCTTTCCCCCAATAAATCTCTTGAATGAAGTTTGGATGAGACCTTCTTTCCCCTGAGCAGCAAGGATTTCCCTAGCTGAGCAGAGTTGTTACACTCCGGAAACCAGAGCAGAACTGTAACAACCTCAAGGGGAAATAAGCCTCCTTCTGGAGCAGAGCTGTTACATTGGGGAAGCCTTTCCCTGGAGCAGGGCTGTAAGCTGGTACGCTTGCTATAACTTGTGGTCTTCCTTGGCTCCCGACTGCCAGAATACTTTTCCCTCTGAGCTGTAACACTTAGTATTCCTTGGCTCCTGATTGCCACAATCCCTTTCCATCCGAGCCACAGTGCTTACATTTGTGACCAGCACTCACGAAAGGGATGGGATGGTGGATTTCTGGGTTTGAGGCCAGCCTGGTCTACAGAGGGAATTCCAGGACAGCCACCAGGGCTACACAGTGAACCATGTCTCAACAAACAAACAAACAAACAAAACCTCAACCAAACAAAAAATAAAAATAATGGAATATATACATAAACATACATACATATAACAATGAATAAAGGCCGGGCGGTGGTGGTGGTGGTGGCGCACGCCTTTAATCCCAGCACTCGGGAGGCAGAGCCAGGCGGATCTCTGTGAGTTCGAGGCCAGCCTGGGCTACCACGTGAGTCCCAGGAAAGGCGCAAAGCTACACAGAGAAACCCTGTCTCGAAAAACCAAAAAAAAAAAAAAAAAAAAAACAATGAATAAAGGACCTCATCAATGTGAAAGAGCAAGGAGAGGTATATGGAAGGGTTTGGACGGAGGAAAGGGAAGGGGGAAATGATGTAATTATAATCTCAAAAGAAATAATTAGAATTAGAAAGGAATAAAAATAAATATAAAAACGTCCTTTCTCACTAAGTGGTGGTGGTGCACATATTTGATCTCAGCACTTGATAGGCAGAGACTGGCAGATCTCTGTGAGTTTGAGACCAGCCTGGTCTACAAATCAGGTTCCAGGACAGCCAGAGCTGTTACACTGCGAAAACTTGTCTAAAAAAAAAAAAGAGAGAGAAAAAGAAAAAAAACAAAACAAAAAATGTCCATTCTCTGTAGGTACTGTAGAGGAAAGCAAAAGATGGATAAGGGATTTTAAAGAAGTTATCAGAGTTGGCCTCACTAAGAAATTGTGGTTGGGGCTGGAGAGACAGTTCAGCAGTTAAGAGCACTGGCTCCTCTTCCAAAGGATCCCAGCTGCAATTCCCAACACTCGCACGACAGCTCCCAAATTTCAGTTCCAGGCAATTGAGCGCCCTCTTCTGGCCTTTTTAGGCAGTAAGCATGCACATGGTGAGATGTATATGTAAGCAAAACTCCCATACATACAACAATTTTTTTCCCCATAAGACAGAGTCTGTGTAGCACTGGCTGTCCTGGAACTTGCTAGGTAAACCAGGCTAACGTCCAACTCAGATATCTGCCTGCCTCTGCCTCCTTGGTGCAGGAATTAAAGACATGCACCACTGTGCCTTGAGCACCACATTTTTTTTTTTTTTTTTTTTTGGTTTTTCGAGACAGGGTTTCTCTGTGTAGCTTTGCGCCTTTCCTGGAGAGCACCACATTTTAAAAAAGAAAGTCTGGCCAGGCGGCGGCGGCGGCGGCGGCGGCGGCGGCGGCGGCGGCGGCCTTTAAGCCCAGCACTCAGGAGGCAGAGGCAGGCGGATCTCTGTGAGTTCGAGGCCAGCCTGGTCTACAGAGCTAGTTCCAATCCAGGCTGGTCTACACAGAGAAACCCTGTCTTGAAAAACCAAAAAAAAAAAAAAAAAGAAAGAAAGAAAGTCTGGTTGGAATACACCCTGCATGCCCATCCTCGGGGTCTTTGCAGTGAAGTCCCTCTTTCTGGGATGATTCTTTTTGCCAAATATTCAGTTGATTTTAAGTCACTCCTTCAGGTCTTTGGTTCAGATGTCACTGTATCTTGGAGGCCTTCCCTGAGGGTCCTGCTTAAATCATGTAGTTTTGTTCTAACCTACTGATCATGAGAGAAAAACAAACTCACCAAAGTCAAGCTAACCTGTATTGCAGTTGTGGAAACAGCATGCCTAGGGCCCATCACCAAGGGAAAGAGAGTTAATAGGATTTGGAAAAGGTGTGTGGAGTTTAAGTGAATTTTTGCTCTTTGTTTATTTTTGTTTTTTCATTCTATTTAGTTCAGGTGAAGTGTAAATGAAGCAATGTTTTTATAAACTCAAAGTTAAACACAGCTGTGTATAAAAGGGTCAATAATTGGCCTGGATATTTTTGCAAAAGCTACAAGATTAAGATACGGAACAAAATGACTGATCTGAACCTCAGGATTTGGGATGGAAATCAAGGCCTACTTCTCTGAGTCAAAATGACTTAGAATTACAGACAAAAATGGGCTCTTTGAGCCAGGCCTAGTGATACATATTTTAATCCCTGCACTCAGGAGGGAGAAGAAGGCAGATCTCCATGAATTCGAGGCCAGCCTGGTCTACAAAGTGATTTCCAGGACAGCCAGGGCTTTACACAGAAAAACCATGTCTCAAAAAAAAATTATTTTATGTGTATGGATGTTTTGCCCCACATGTATGCCTAGTGCCTTTGGAGTCCAGAAGAGGGCACTGGATCCCCGGGACTGCTGTTAGAGGGTTGCTAGGAATTGAATCCTGGCCTGGAACAGTAACTAGTGCTTTTAACTGCTGAGCCACTCTCCAGGCCCTAAAATTTTTAAAAAGAAAAAGTAACTACTGACTGTAGGCAGATTTTTCTGTCCCACTAGCCAGCTCCCAAATAACCATGCAGAGGCTTATTAATAATTATAGATACTCAGCCGATAGCTTAGGCTTGTTACTAACTAGCTCTTATAACTTAAATTAACCTATATTTTTTTCTTAATTTTTTTTCGAGACAGGGTTTCTCTGTGTAGTTTTGGTGCCTGTCCTAGATCTCGCTCTGTAGACCAGGCTGTCCTCGAACTCACAGAGATCCTCCTGGCTCTGCCTCCCAAGTGCTGGGATCAAAGGCGTGTGAGTTACAGGCAATTGTGAGCCACCCAGTGCAGTTCTGGGAATTGAACCCCAGTCCTCTCTAGGAGCAGTACTCTCTTTCAACTAATGAGCCATCTCTCCAGTCTTGCTTGGTTTTTGTTTTGTTTATTTCTTGACTTTTGGAGACAGGGCCTTGCCGTGTAGCCCTGGCCAGTGTGGAGCTCACTATGTAGACCAGGAACTCACAGAGATCCACCTACCTCTGCCTCCTGAGCGTTGGGATTACCATATCATAAATACCATACCATAAATAGTACCCTTAAGTTTTCATTTTTTATATTGTCAGAAATATGCAGAAATGCCATTACTTTTATTTTTGCTTTTGAGACAGAGTCTCATCATGTAGCCCCTGCCTTGCCAGGAACTCTTTATGTAAGCCAGGCCAGCTTTGAATTCACAGAGATTTGCCTGACTCTTCCTTCCTAGTGCAGGGATTAAATGAATTTGATTCTATGCCTGGCACAATTGTCATTATTATGATTATTAAGGGGGTGAATGTACCACCGTGTGCATGTGGAGGTCAGAGGACAACTTGGTAGTGCCTGCTCTCTCCTACCTTTCTGTGGATTTGGGGAACTAAACTCAGGTCACCAGGCTTTGATAGTAAATATCTCTACCCACTGAGCCATATCTCCAGCTGTTTTGCTTTTTGGATATGTGCTGCAAGGGAGTGTTTCACATGAGCTAGGCAAGTACATCCCCAGTTACAATCTATTTTTGTATATTGATTCACCTTCATCCTTGCCAAACTCATTAATTCCCATAGCTTTTGAAAGATCCCATGGGTTTTTCTGAGTAAGTGACCATGGTGTGAGTGAGTAGGATAGTTTTGTCTCTTCCTTTCTCACCGAGGTGCTATATTTTCTTGCTTAAGTGCATTGGCAGGAAATGGTGAAAACACAACATCTTTGTCATGTTCTCATTTTAAGAGAAAGCAGTTGGTTTTTCACCATGAAATAGGATGTTAGTTTGGGGTTTTTCATGACTGTGATTTATCAGGTTGAAAAATTCCCTCCTTAGCCGGGCGGTGGTGGCGCACACCTTTAATCCCAGCACTCAGGAGGCAGAGGCAGGCGGATCTCTGTGAGTTCAAGGCCAGCCTGGCTACCAAGTGAGTTCCAGGAAAGACGCAAAGCTACACAGAGAAACCCTGTCTCGAAAAACAAAAAAAAAACCAAAAAACAAAAAACAAAAAAAAAGAAAAAAAAGAAAAATTCCCTCCTTTTCCTAGTTCTGCCCC